CCTAACCTGACCCCTCCTTTTACCCCAACACTTCTTAAAGACAGAAATTTCAATGGGTATGTTGCTTGTTCATTTTTTTGTACCCAGCTATGGCTCTCCAGAGCTTCAGCATGTATTCTCATCAGTGTTGTAGTCAGAAAAAGAAAAGAAATAAAAATTCATAACTGAGAAATAAAGAGTGAAAATGGAAAGTATTGTAAATAGGAGTTCAGTTGAACTAACAGTGCACAGGCAGTTGGTTTATCAGAGTTATCTCTGTGGATGAAGTAATGGCACCTGTGTTAGCAGTTTCTCTTTATTAAAGTTAACTTACATGTGGCAAGAAGTCACATGGCTGCTGTTGAATTCAGTCTCAATGGTTATAAATTTGAAAGACTACCCTTGACCAAAATGAGAGAAAACACAAAGGAACAGTGTAAACTCTTACCTTAAATCACCTACAACACAACCATGCAAGAAATATTTGGCTAACCATGGAACTAGCACTGAACACTCAGACAGCCACCATCTTACAGCAGGAGGCTAAGGAATTTTGGACAGGTGCAGCAAGCAGGCTGTACGTGTGACAGGCTCTCCAACAGCAGACCCAGCTTAGAGAATTAGATAAAAAGCCCTGGTTCATGAGTGTCAGAGCTGTAGACTGCATTTTCATCTTCCTGGCATGTTCTCCTGCCAGTGATCTGTCCAGGTCAGACCTCTCAGACTTCCCGATTCTGAGGAAACAATTCGTAAATTCTTAATTGTCTGGGATTTTGAGTTGTGTTTGACAGATTAATTCTACAGTATCTGTGTGGACCAGTACATCAGTAGTTTCTAGTCCTCCAGGATATCAAGTGAGGTACATTATGGTTAGCAAGGCTTGAAAGGTCAATTCATATCAGGTTGACAGGAGAAACTCAAGAGAATCATTGCCTCTTGTAAAAATCTAACTGTCCTCTAGGAAAAGGACATACGGTCTTGGAGGAATGGTACCCAGAACACAGAATAAATGTGATTTGATTCTTCAGATGAAAAAACCTAAATTAAAAAAAAAAAAAAATCAGGTGAAAAAACCTAAAAAGGAAAACTGAGAATGGTTAAATGCATTTAGGAGGAAATACAAGAAAAAATACACAGCTGCAGTGGAAACTAAAGAAAACAGTTGAGGAAAGTGATGGAAAGGCTTGAGGTGCTAAGAAGGACTTGGCTGGTGGTAGAGAGAAACTGAATCACTGGCAAATTGCATGTTCTGTCCTCCTGGAGGATGATGCTCTCTCTTGGGTAAGATCAGGCCTCTGTTTCCTCCAGGATCTAATGAAAGGCTGAAGATAAAGCAGATGTGAACTCAAGGAGCTATGAAGATACTGTGCATATGCATGGCCCTCTCAGCCAGCTGCTGGCTGCAGCATGTATTTTCTAGTGGAACAGCAACAAAATGTTTATTTCTCCCTATCAAAAATATTTAACACTGCGGTTCGTGTTCAACAAGGTAGCATCAGTTTTTCACAGTAAATGTTTACATTTTACAACTTTACCTCTTACATCATAGCCTCTTTGGGTAAGAGCCAGCCTACTCCTAACAGAAAACCATCTTAGAAATTACAACAGAAAATGAATCCCCTTAAAAAGTTCAGTCAAACATATGATATGAAAAAAATATTTAAAGGATGCATTGTAAAATCCAAATTCAAAGAGCACAAGAAGTTGTAGAAGAAAATAAGTTATGTGTTTAAGTGCATAAAGGAAGTGTCAAGACTTCCTTTCCAGAACCTGAAGGGAACCTACAAGAAAGATGGATAGGGACTTTTTACAAGAGCATATAGAGACAGGACAAGGGAGATTGGCTTCAAACTGAAAGACAGTAGGTTTAGATTAGATATTAGGATAAAGTTATTTGCTATAAAGGTGGTGAGGCACTGGAACTGATTATCCAGAGAAAGCTGCAGATGCCCCATCCCTGGAGGTGCTCCAGGCCAGGCTGGATGTGGCCTTGAGCAACCTGGTCTAGAGAAGTGTCCCTGGCCATGGCAAGGGGGCTGGAACTAGATGATCTTTAAGGCTCTTTCTAGCCCAAGCCATTCTATGATTCTATGGCTCTATGTAGAAAATAAAGGTAAACTTATTTTCAAAATTACAATGAAATTATAATCTATAATCTTCAGGCTTTATATAATCTATAGAGCTTTGTACTTGATTTCAAAACTGTGTAAAGAAGAAAAAAATCCTCAGGTGTGACATTTATCAAATGTTTTATAATGCAAAAGCTTAAAAAAATAATCTGAAAATTAAGTACTGCTTTAAATGACGTGCCTTGGAAAAAAATACTAATCAGATGAAATAAAATTAAATTTACAGACTCATAGCAGATTGCTTAAGTATTCACCAGAATTCAGCAAAATCTCTGAAGAGATCCTGGTGTAACAGAGTTCAGATTCACATAGGATTTCTAGCTCCTGTTGCATTAGGAAGCAGAAACATTTTAGCTTTAGTAGAGCACCAAGCCAGCCATTATTAATGAAGCTGTCTAATGGACTGAGCCTTAGCCACGCATGAGAGCCCAACACCAGATACTTCTGTCCTCCATGAGAGCTAATTGTCCAGGACCATCAACGCATAACATTTAACTGTTTAAAAGTAAGGTGATAGTTAACTCACAATTGATTCTCCTGCAGTCCTGCACAGCATTGCACTAGACTTTTAAATAGAAAGGATTTCCATTATCTAACTGAAATGCTCATGTTCAGTTTCCTTAATGACCTCAGAAGATTTAATAAGCAATTTATTTAATTCCTGTATAGCTGACACATGACTAGCTGATAACATATGTTAAAATATGATAACACTAATTTTGTGCATTTTCTTCCTTATAGGCTGGTCACTCCCTAAGTGTCAGTCTGTAATTTTATGTTACACTGCAAATAAGCCCTCCAAATATGACACTAATGTTTTGCTGGCTCTGAACTCAAAGAGTGTGTTCATGGGATACAATGGCTCCTCTTGAGGGAACTGGGATAAGGAATCTGTGAAAGTGAAGGAAATCTTGAGAGTGAAAATCCCTGTAAGATGATAATGTAGAAACACAAAGGAAAAAAAAACAGGAAAGTGACAAGCGCAGAATATGGTCCTAAAAGATTTACCACGTTCTGATTTTCATCTGGTCTTGTTGAAGTGTGTGTTGCACTAAGACTTAATATACAAACCAGTCCATTGTGCAGGAAGGGCCTCAGCCCAAAGATCTCAGGAAGACAGAAACATGAAGTGCTCCAACATTTCTGCTGGATCATTGACGTAGATGTGTGCTAAATAAGCTTTGAATTTTTTGCTGCTGTTCAGAAAGACCAGATTAGTATCTTACACTTCAGGGTCCAACAAGGTATGGGAAGTTTGAAGTTCCCAACACTTCAGAAGTCTCAACCACCATCTCTCAAATAATTGACAGAGGAGCTGAGAACTATTGACAATTAACATTTAGCAAATTCTTTAACCCTGAGGGATGCGTTGGCAAATCAGGGCAGGAACAAAGAGCTATGTGACATTGATAAATTTTATCCAGGATCAGAGCTAGCATTCACACTGTCAGCTCTGAAGGGTAAGAAGATGCTGATGGAAATGAAATAATAATCAGGGGGAAAAAAGGACACATCCTTATAAGCAATGCCAACCCACTGGCTGATGGAAATTCCCTCTTGTCAAGCTAGTTAGCAAGACTCATCGTGACCAGATAAAATTAACCATCGCCTAAAGGTATGGACAGTTGTTAAGGCATTTTGCTTTGCATTTGGGTGACACTTAGGCAAAAGAAACAAAGGGGGGAAAAAAAAGGCACAATAGCAGATCAATACAGCATTTACCAAATATAGCAAAAGGGGACTTACCATGTCCTTGAGTTATTCTCAGCGAGATTCCAGTGGAATTTTTCTTTGCCCTAATACTGTTCATTAAAAAAAAAAAATCCCACAGACAACCAGGAGCATTTTTAGAATAGAAGATGGAGGACACTAAATTATGGAGTGTTTAGTTTAGGCAGGAAACTTGATTGGTGAAGCCACACACTGACCTCAAGTACACCAATACCAGTCTCTTACAAGACAGTGAACCTCTAATTGTTTTGGGGTAAACCAAAAATTTTCTATCTACCCTTAGTTTAGAACATTTATAGCTAAATAGCCTAATTTTAAAACTAACCAACGTCTATAAGATAGATAAAAAAACCCTTTGTTTTGAGCTTTTGACCAAGCTCATATCAGGGCTGTACTAGTGAATCCTGCCAATTGCCCTGTGTGGAATGAAGTGATGTTCTGGACCAAAGCTGCAGCACCAAAACCACACCTAATCTGTATCACTGCAAATGTTCGCACTATGGAGCCACCTCAGCCAGATACAAGCAGCCGTTTTCTTCCTATGAATCTCTCCTCTCCTAGGACACCTGAGTACAGAGATTGTATTTTTTTGATGGATCAAAAAACTTGAAAATACTTAAATATGTTTTGCTATCTTATGTAAATTTCACATACTTCCTAGTATTAATCTTATTTAAACACTAGATTAGTAAAATAATTGCAAATCTGTTACCACCTCAACATGCCTGTCAGACTAATCCACAGTCCAATTCCTTAAGAATTTTAAGTCAGGGGAACACATTTTCCAGCATAGCTATGAGCAAGAGAAACCTGGTGAAAAATAAAAAATTCAACTTGCTCCATTCATTTCCTGTCACTGCTATTTTTCAATATTGACTCGTTTAATAGCCACTTACTATGAAAATATTTCAGGATAAATTTCAATGTCTAACTGTCCAACTTGCTTGAAATCTGTTTCCAACAAAACAATCCTAGGAACAACTTGTCACTAAAGTAGCTTTTTTTTTCAACAGAAGGAGTTCTTGGTGAGCACTATTTAATTTTGCCTGAGACAGTTAAAAGATAAAGTATTTCTACTAATGCACTAAAAGGCAATCAAGTACTTTAAATTCACATACTTGAATTAACAGACACACACTCAAAGAAAAACAGAGACATGTATAAGGGGAGGCCAAATTGTTTTATTTAATTTTTTAGTGACCAATTGAATTCTTGGCAGAAAGCTCTGCTCTTTCCTTTTTTATTCCTTGGTTTTTTTGTTGGTTTTTTTTTAACTTCTTTAAAGAAATCAGCAGTGCTCAAATTGGTGGGTTGGAATTTTAGTAAAATTCCAGTTAATTTTAAAAAGAACAGATGAACAGGAATTCCAGATAGTTTCCAGAGCAGAGGGCAAAACTTCACATTTGTATGAAAATTCCATGTTAATACTTGATTGGGAGACAGAATGTCAAACTATTGTCAGTAGTGCACAAATAAAACATTCACATTTGATCTGGAATCTTAATCAGAAAGCTGTACTCTCCTTCCAAAATTTTCATTACCTTGTGCAAAGCAAGTCAAGTCTTCATGTGTCAAGCACACACGTAAAATTGTCCATATTTTATATACAAGACATCTACCAATCAGGCAGTGCAAAATACATCCTTTCATAACAAAACTAAAATGTACCTCTCAAAGTATGAACAAGAATATACACATAATACAAGATGTACACTATTTACACAACCATAAAAAATATAATACAAGGATTTTTTTTTTTTATGTGATTATAAGACTTGACAGTCTTTTGCAATTTTTGTTGCAACAAGGCATGTTTTAAGTTTCCTGGATGGAGTTTTCTTTGCCAATTACTCAAGAGATTTTGGAAACTACGCTTGAACTTTTAGGAGAGTTTTCAAATGGACTGCCATCAATTCCCTGTTTTGGTCAGACAGTTCAGCTGTGCCACCCACCCAGTGGCTGGGAGGCTTTGGAAGGACACTGGGAGATGGTGGGTCACTAAACTTTGCCCCAGCATAATTTTCTTTTTGGCTCATTTCATTTAGGGCGATAGGTTTCTTGGACTTGGCATTTCTGAAGTTCTCTGTGTTTTTAAGTGGCTTTTTCTCCTGCTTCTGAACTATTTCCGGCGACACAGAATCCTGCCAAAAGTTCTCTATCTTTTTCGCCGAGGCGATCTTCGTCACTGGCGTGTTACACTTACTCTTCTGCCTGTTAATCTTTGGTTGTTCACACAGGTGTAAGCTGTGAACGGGCTGGCCGTAGGGGACGGCCGCCTTCTCTGTCTTTCCCATCTTGTTTTTTAAGAACTGCGAAGACAAAGAAAAGTCACGTCAATCACGACCGCTCTCCTCCGCGTTTCCTCACCGCCCCTCACACTTGGGGAGGCGCCGGGTGCCACCTCGGAAGGGGGAGGGTTACCGAGAAGCCTTCTCCCCGCTATTTCTCGCTTATCCCACAGCTCATCCTACCGCTCGGCTGGCACGGGCGGCCTGAGGGCGCGGAGCCCCCCCCGGCCGCCATGGGGCGCTGCGCGACACGCACGTCCCGCCT